TTCAAGCATACACCCAGATTCTGTGAACTAAAGAATGGGGGAGCGTGGACGGAATTTGACCGTCAATGTCGACGATTGTTGAACTTCGGTGTCTCGAGTATCATATCCATGGCTATTCCCATACAGTTCAAGTATACACCCAGATTCTGTGAACTATAGAGTGGGGGAGCGTGGACGGAATTGGACCGTCAATGTCAGCGATTGCTGAACTTCGGTGTCTCGAATATCATATCCGTGGGTTTTCGGGTTCTTGGACAGTGGAAGAACGCGAAGCTAATTTTTGTCGGTCCGCCTTCGGCGGACAACGACCACCGTGGCGGCGCTTCAGTCACACTTCGCGAAGCGGACTTCGCATACCATGCGGGTTGCCTCTTCGAGGCTCGACGGGACTCGACCGAGGCTCGCAGTGAAGTAAGAAATTGTGAAACTCGACCGAGCTCGACCGAAAAACGAGTCGAGCTTCGAGGCTCGGCCGAGCCGAGCCTCGACTTTGAGCTATGCCTTGAACATGCTTCCTTCGAGGGCCCGACCGATGCGGTGCCCTACGCAGTCTTCAAGGGAAATCTTGAGACAGCGATTCGGTTCTATCGCATTGAGCATGATCGTGACGCCGTCTTGTACATATTCCGTCACCTCGGCCCCAGCTTGAGGTCGGAGGTAGTGCTTAGCCTCAAGGAGGGCGACCTTTCCCCCAACTCTGTCGGGCTCTACCTCGATGCTCGTTACGCTAGCACGGATACACCTAGCAAGGCGGGCCAGAGGTGGGAGAGCCTGAGACAGAGAACCGGTGAACGGGTTGCTGACTATTACTCCCGGGTGAAAGCGGAGTGTCTCCTCTTCGGACGGGTGGTCGGGACACAGTTGCTGTTAACCATCGTGTGCGCCAAGTTCGTCAACGGGCTGCACCCTCACATCAAACTGCCTCTTGAAACCAGCTGCGGGCATCAGTTGGTGAAGATGACGCTCGAGGAAGCGCGGGATGCATGCCTGTACCACGAGGCGCGGCTCTCACAGTCGGCGGGACATCCGGAGGTGGCTCATAAGAAGACACCTGTACAGGCACCCAACTACGATGGGGGTCAGAACAGGCGTCGGTCTACTGAAACGAAGGGTGAGACCGCGGGCAACACTGTTGCGGCTACCAGAGGTGCAGAACCGGGAAGAGTGCCTGCGAAGCCACGTTGGGATTACTGCTCGACGATGAAGCTGGGGGGTGCTGAGAAGCATGATGATGCCAGCTGTTGGAAGAACCCAGCTAATGCTCACCTTGTGCCGGAGTGGTACCGTCAGCGACGGGCCAGTAAGGTTACCGGCCAAGGCGAGAAGCCCCTGAAGGAGCAAGCGGCTGGGGGACCAAAGGCTCCCCCAACCGAGGCGGCCTTCATGGTCACGGCCGGCAACAGCACCGCGTGTGGAACTAACCTACGGGTCATCGAGGCCTCGGTTGAAGGGTCGTCGGGGACGGCCCGTCGACTCGAGCTACTGATCGACACCGGGTCGGATGTAACCTTGTTGTCCTCCCGCCTTGCTGAGGCACTGGGGGTCGAGGTACATCCCCTGGTGGGGTCAAGGGCGCTACGTTCCGCTGGGACTTGCGGAACTATAAATGTCCTGGGACATGCCTCAGTGCGGTTAACGGTAGAAGACGTTCGCGGAGCCCACCATGCCTTCTCGCTGTCGGTAGAGGTGGCCGAGGGCCTCAATGAAGGCCTCTCTTACAACACGATCTTGCTTGGTATGAAAACCATGCGCAAGATGAATGGACGGCTAGATATGAGTAGTGACATATTCTATTGTGGCGTATTACATGCGCACTGGCCTATGAAACCTTTCTCGGTATCAACCGTGAACACCATCGCGGACATGCCGCCAGAGAGGCTAGTACTTCCAACACAGGCAACGATCGACGAAAGGCTCGAAGGCTGGACCTTCCCCAAGGTGACGGCCAGCCTGAAGCCTGGGGCCGTTCGCCCGTGTCCACGCCGCCCTCACCTCGGGAACAAGCGGGAAATGATGGCCTTGTCACTCTTGGTGGGAAACTTGGTCGCGGCTGGCATCGTCGAATTGCTCACACGTGAGCAGGTAGAGGCGCGTAGCGTCTGGATCTCGCCGGCCTTCGCGGTTCCTAAGACCGAAGGGGCTCGGGATGGCGAGGAACTCACTCCGGATAACGTCGAAAAGATGTATCGCTTGGTTATAGATGAACGTTCGGTAAATGCCTCCGTACAGGACCTCCTCCCGAACTGGAAAACCTACATGCGACCAGTCGAGGCGTGCCTCTCAGAACTACCGGCCAGGGAGATATGGTATGCTTCGGTCGACGTGGCCCAAGCATTCTTTAATCTGGAATTCGACGAATCCTGTGTGGATCTATTTGGTTTTTCCTACTATACCCTAGGCGTAGACGGGGAAGCTCCGAATACCTTGCGTTATGCCGTTTTCAGACGGATGACGATGGGGTTCAAGCTTTCGTCCTTCTACTGGGCCTATTCGGTGCACTCGCTCCTTACAACAGCACTCCCAGAGGTCTACAGAACTGATGGACCTACGCATATCTTGGACTTTGTTGATGATATCCTTGTCTGGTCAGCCTACTTTGATGAGTGTCACACGCTGAAAAGGCTGGCCATCCATGCTCTGGAAAGAGTGAATGCCAGGGCCCCGGTTCCAAAACAGAAGGGCCCAGCAAGATCACTGGATTACCTCGGCTTCAATCTCGGGCAAGGTGGATATTCCTTATCCAAACAGTCTATGGATACGCTTCGGGATGCACTCTCTTCGACTCCACAGACGCTGCGTGGCCTCAGAACGAAGCTGGGCATTCTCCAGTTTTGTCGTTCGCTCTGGCGTCCGCATAATAATCACTCTGATACCTCTCTCGCACACTTGTCGGCACCATTCACCACTCTGGTGGGCAAGATGGTCAGCGGGGGTGCGAAGAAATCAGCCCGACTGCGATGGACAGAGGAGCTCTCTTCTGCCTGGAACAGCATCGTCAAGAACATGGGGGACGGCTTCGTGCCTTACCATTCCTCTGACGATAACTGGGAGGGCATGCAACTCGTGGTGATGAGCGATGCATCACCGGTGGCAGGTGCTGCGTGTTTATTTCGCTTACCACGAGAGGTCTTCGTACGCCAGCTCGAGGCAGGCGAAGTATCAGCGGGATGGATATCCTCTCTTCCAACTTCGGCCTTGATAGGAGTGTGGACGCACAAATGGACGGCTCCAGAAAAGGCCTACGACATCTCAGATCGCGAGCTGCTCGCTACCTGTTCATCTCTGCTGCACTGGCGAAGTCTCATACTCCCCTTTGTCAATTTCTTCGACCTCCCCAAGGCCGATGGGCACCCAACGATCGGTAGAGTAGCAGTCTACATGGATTCGAGCAGCGCCTTAGGGAAGCTTGCTGCACGGCTGGATTCCGCCAAGTATACCCCCACGTCTAACCAGTCGAAGCGCTGGGTAGGATGGTTGAGCGAGCTCTTGGTCTTTAGCAACTTGGACCTTACCTATCACCACGTCAGCGGTCGCAACAACTCCTTCGCCGACCTACTCAGCAGGCTTCTAAATGGCGGGCGCCACTTGGTCCCGGAAGGGGGTGGGCAGCCACTCGTCCTATTCACCTCTGATAGCCATGGGCCATCCACAGACTCGTCTGCGGAAAAGCTGGCAAAGGCACTGCTCAGTGGGCAGCTTCTCCTGGAGCTGCGTCGGTTACAATCGTCCGATGGGGACACTCGCGTCCATGGGGACACTTTGAGTGCGTGGCATGCCCACTTCGGCAGTGGTGAGGATATCACCCGCACGTCGCAGGAAGCCAAATCCCTTGGACTGGTTACCTTCACAGATGGTCTCGTAAAGGTCATAACCGACGTCACTTTGCATGGCGAGGTTATCGTACCGGTTGTCCCTATCGGGAAGGTAGTGGGCCTGGAGCAAATCATTAATACTAACGTGGTCCCAGACTGGGAACTGCGAGAATGGCTGATGTTCACCGCGCATGAGGCCGACAGCCATCGGGCGTTCCCACAAGCTAAAGATGCCATCTCTTGTCTCGCTTGGTGGCCATCCATTGCTCGGGACGTACGAGCTTGGATAAGTCGTTGCGACTACTGCATGGAGCAGAAGCCGACTAAAAGGGCAAAATTGGTGAGCGCACCGAGGGTACCTAGAGGGCTCTTGGACATCGATGCGCGCGGGAAGCATCTGGCCATGGACCATGGTTATCCTGTGCCGACTTGGCCGCCTGCCAAGGACCCTAACAACAAGGCCTTCTTAGTCATGACGGACCTCGCCACCGGATTCACCCTACTCAGATGTGTCCCTGATGTTGGGGGTCCCACCACGTCCGCGATCCTTTTCGAATCCTGGGTAGCGTTGATGGGGGTTCCCTTGTCAGTAACGGGAGACAACTTCTTGGACACTCCCTCATTGCGGAATTCTCTCAAGGCCTGTGGGGTTCGATTCCTCACCGTTCCGGCCTGGTCCCCGTGGTCCAACGGGAGTGCCGAGGCCCGTGTCGGCAGGGTTAAACGTATACTTCCCGGATACTCGCTCCCGTGGGATGCGGCCATGCCCCATGTACAACTGGCCATCAATTCCCAACAGCGAGCAAGCGGTCACTCAGCAGCGGAATCCGCTGAGCGGATCTCATGCTCGGCACAAAAGTCAACACTCCTTCAACGGCCATACTAACGGCCGTCTTGGACCCCCACCGCGAGCTGGATTATGACAGTCTAGAGCATTTGGCTTCTTCGCTCAACACATGCGAGGCCGTGCGCCAGGTTATCGTCCAATCAATAGGCCTTGCTCGGTCTGCGGTACTCCAGTCTCACATAAGAGATTGTTTGCGGGCCTCTGCTGCCCGTCCGGGGAAACCCGTTGAGGATGGGGACTTGGTCGTCTGGCGCCGACCCGGTGCGCGCCCGGTCGAAGGTCGTGTCGTAATGGTCGAGGGTGTGAACGTGAGCGAGGGTCCTTTTTGCTACCTAGGCACCATGGCGGGATTCTCTGTTCGTCTCCGTCCTCTAGGTTCTGCGGATGACAGGACGGTAGCCGTCTCTGCATGCCATCTCGAGGCCCGGGCGGAGTCGGTCGACAGGAATCGCCCCACTTTGGCTACCGAGACCACCATCCCAGTAACCTCGACTCGACCGGACGATTTGTTGCTCGTCCGTCTTGGCAACGAGGAGGACGTCATCGGAAGGGTTAAGCGAAACGTGGGTACCCATGAAATGCGCATACAGGTGTACGACACCAACGACGGCAAAACGTTCATGCCAGTTTGGACGAATCTGGACGGCGACTCCTATGCAGCTGTCTCTCCGGTGGATGATAATGACTATCCCCTGCTCAGGACGACCAGCTCAGTGCTCATGAGAGTTATGTTGACCCCTACGGGAAAACTCCGTGATGCATCAAGAGCAGCTCTTGTAGCAGCGGGTTATCTTTCTTGAACCTTTTCCCTATGCCACTTTTTCCTTCAATGCAGGGCCCCTTGGGGGACATCTGCGGTTTGGGTTTACTGCACCAAGCCATTGGAAGGGCCCCTCCATTGCAGGCAATCTCTTTTTCGGCAAACATGACATCGATCGCTCCGCTGGCACGCATAGGTTAAGCGAGCAACGCTTGCACACGTGCCCCCGGTTGCGGGATTATTAAACAGATTAGCGGTTTATGATGTTGATAGTAGCTCTATTATAGTTAGTATCACTATCATTTCCTAATGGTTAACTCCCTAGACAACGACGCTCTTGAGTTGGCACTGGGAAGACTCGACCTTGAGCCAAGTGACACTGCAATCCGTTTGTTTTGGAGTATGCTATGTCGACACTTCATCTATTAGGTAGCCCTGACGCAGGCAGTGGTTCTGTAACCGGCCGCAGGCTCAGAGTCTGAGACTCTGACTGAATCATTAATCGCCGTTACGGACAGACCGAGGTTTGCACCTCGCTTCGCATCGTGATTCGTCAGTGTTCCCGTCTGCGTTTCTTGCTGATATGAGCGCAAAAGTTTTCGACAATCCCCTCATTCGAGAAAAAATAAGACTGGCATACATGATGGGGACGATAGAACAGAGTCAGAAGTGATGATGGTAACGAATAAATGCAGACATTAAAGAATCAATCAAGAAATGTTCAACGACAGCTCTAATCTCCGAGCGTTGGAAACTTTCCAATGGAAAGCGCGATTGTTCAGCGGCGGAACTTCAGCGCACGCCCTGGCTCCTCCAGTGTGGAGATCTTGTTGTCTGTGCCTATTGATCTCTTGAGATCTTGAAGTCTTGCTGTTCTTAGTAGTAGAATAGCTATTTTGTTCGTTAGCTGTGGCACAAAGTTATTTCCTTATTTCGGTGTACTTGATACGAGACCTATCCTATCTTGCACCTACCCTATCTTGGCTATACTTGTGTTATCTCAATTCCCCTGGTTGGAATAGATCAACAATCTCACAAATCTTGTAACGCTCAGTTACATCTAATCAAGCTATGAAACATGATTGGTAAGTGCAAATCATTTGCTAGCAGCCTGATCGAATAAGACAGTGACGCTCTGGCCTGCCGAACTTGGCAGGCCAAGCGGAAAAACTTATTTTTCCATATTTTTCCGTATTTTTCCTTCATTTTTCCTTCAAACTTCAAATTTCCTTCCGAAGGAAATAATTTTTCTATTTCTCCTTCCGCGTGTCACCCTAATAGTGACCATACTATGGTCACTGTGGCTCACAGAGTCAAGTGCCTCATCTCTAGTCCCCCAGTATCAAGGGCAAGAAAAAAATCGTACTGCTGGGGTGCTCCACACTACAGCAGTCCTTGGAGTCTGCCTTTCGATCATTGCAGCACTCACTTTCATCAACACAACTGGTTATTTAGCGCTCGCCTCACAGGTACTTCGCTAGACCACACACTTTCCCTCTTATCGGGGATGATGGTACGATCCCCAGCTGGGGAATTTCTCCGCCAAGAAACCGTACCCTGTTTCTCTCTCATTGAAAATATGTCAAATTCCGATAGTTATCCATGATATTCCGTGTTCGCTGGCATACCTCGATCTGGAACACTTGGTCGTTTACGAGGAAGAACGCTTCGAGGTCGCCCACACAGTGTTGGCAACATTTTAAGTGTGGCGTTTCATCCAAGTGTGACACCTGCATGAAATGCCCTTCGCTATGCGATTGATTGGTGTTGTGATTCTCATGTCGACCACGCCTGTTTCTTGAATGTCAGATTGTAGCAGACTCATAACCTGCCAACTCCAGCTCTGGAGGCTCCTAGCGAGTTTGTGCTCACACTACTTGACCAGTCGCAAGCAGCAGGGACTCGTTACCAGGGAGCTACTTGTAACTTACAAATAGCTCCCTGGCAACGCTCCCGTTCCTTACAAGTTGTAAGGAACGGCCATCATGGAGACGGAAGGATCGAGTCGATCCGATCGACTCGCATGCGAACTTGGCAGCCGACGTTCGGCGTAAGACTAACCGAGCCATCGCACAAAATAGCTTCCCGGATTTGCTTCGCCACCCTTGACTAGAACCCAAAACAGGGAAGGCTATTGTCTGGACTAGAGAGAGTGTGCGGCTAAACTCTCTATATATGCAATAAAGCAGATATACCGTTGTACGGTATATAACCGTCAACAAAACATGGCTCTAGTCCATAGATGGTACTCCGCCCATACACATCGTGCGAGGACAGCTCAGGACAGTTTACATCTCAGCTTATCGTCGATGAACCTGCCTCACTAAGTCAGGAAATGGCAGAAAAATTGCCACTGGAAAAATGGGAATGGAAAGATTGTTGCCATTTCGGAACATTCTGGGTTCCGGCAAATAGGGTGGCACGAATTATTTCCTTCCAATTACTTCCTGAAAGATGAAGAAAATTTAGAAAATCCTTTCGGGCAGGAAAAATGAGTGAAAACAAGGAAAAATAAGGAAAAATAAGGAAAAATAAGGAATCCCGAAACTGCCATACATGGGCATGAAAAAACCAGAAAACGAGAGGTCTCACAGCAGGTGATGTCTGGGATATATGCCTGTGTTAGTGGTCTTGGTTAGACCGAGCATAGGGAAACATTGTTCGCCAGGATGATCAAAGATCTTTGTGGCGAGCGAGAACTCGATTCACACTTTCACTGGAAGGCCCAGGGGCCTATTTCACAAGAAACGCTCCTTAAGGTGCACCTTGGATTTAGGAGCAAGGGGCGAGGAGCCTTACACCTTACGCGAGGTGCTTTCACTACAGTTGCACCTCATGCTCCTTATGGTGCATCTCGGGAACCTCAATAAGGAGCACGAGGAGCACCTAAACAAACACCGATGCGCATGAAAGAGTCGACGCAGTGTTTCAATAAAGCTAAGAATATGGTTATTGCCACTGGATAAAACAAACTCGAAAACTTTACCATCAACTCATTTGAGAGCAATCGGTCATGATCGTAGATCGCTGAAACGCCAAGTCGAGTATGCGGTAAAAATGCATGGTTCGGGGATAGACCATCCGCGGGTGAGACGCGCGGGCTGTCGGGAATAAGCGGTGCGAAGCTCGCATAAAATGGTAAGGAGGGTGCGATAAGGTGCATAAAGTACCCCCCGAGCAGTCTTACAGCACCTTACGTAAGAATCGCAAGGAGAGGCCCAAAAATGCCTCCTATGAAATCGCCTTACATGAGGAGGCCCTCCTCGCACCTTGTAGAGTAAGGAGCCTTACGGTGAGGAGCCTTATGTCACCTTACCTTACGCCAACCCCCCAAATCGTAAGGATGTGAAAGCGACTTGCCATGAAACCGTAAGGTACCTTACAATTTTCGCTCCTTATGATGGCTTGTGGAATAGATGGCAAGCTTATGGCTTGCGTTGCACTTCACAAAGCGAGGTTGGCACCATGGTCAATTTTATTCAAACGAGAAATGCTGCACTCCCACAAGCACAACACACTGAAGTATCAACGTAGCATACTCCAAAACAAACGGATAGGTACAGGGAGTCATCGAGGAACTTGAAATGTTCCCGGAGGGAACGAATTTTGGACATATTTTCGGCCAATCTTCGGGATTTCCCCCATTATAATCGCTCATTAGGAACATTTTTCCTAGTCGGCGGGATCTTAGGAACGTTATTTCTGAGAGCTGGATGAGTCCCTGGATAGGTAGCCCTGACGCAGGCAGTGCCACTGCCGGTTACCGAACCACTACCGTTGTGGTTCTGTAACCGGCGGAAGGCTCAGCCTCTGAGCCTCAGAGGCTGAGACTCTGACTGGATCAGTTATCGCCTTTACGGACAGACCGAGGTTTGCACCTCGCTTCGCATCGTAATTCGTCAGTGTTTCTGTCTGCGTTCCTTGCTGATACGAGCGCTCGAACCTGTGAAAGTGATCGAAATTGGAAGGTTTTATTGGTGACTAAGAGACATTTCCAATGCTGGCCGCCGCGTGGACTGCCGTTGACAAAAGTTTTCGACAATCCCTTTTTTCGAGAAAAAAACTAGCAGACAGATTTTCGGTGATTTCCAAAGGATTGGCTCGCGTTCGACGGCGCCGGACAACCGAGTTTCCAGACCGGCTCCGACAGCACTTAGCGGTAATCTCATTGGGCAGGCAGAGCAGTATGATGTTTCGCGGCCTACTCGATGCCGTGCCATAGGCACACGTACCGCTCACGAGCGGAGACCGGACTCGGCCATAGTACGGCGGACCAGTGAGCGGTATGCAGCCGACGCTGGGCAGCAAGCACAGGTATGCGCGGGTAGTGACTTCTTCCACCTATAGCATGCTTTTGTCTTCCTCAGAGTTCCAGAAGGCCTTCTAATCCTATGGGAGTCCTCAGCTGTTCAGCAATTCGCGAAGGCTTTGACGTGAGATATCCCCAAGGACACTCAGAGCTCCAATACTCGCTGATTGTTCATAGGTGCCACGTGATGGAGATGCTCGTCTATCAGGGATATGTTATAATTCAGCTTCCGCGCCAAATGGGGATGAGTACAGCGCACTGGATACGAGCTCAGCGACTCTCGAGTCGAGAATTTCGACAGAGCCTTCTTAGGCGCTCGTATGGCATAGCCTTAAGCTATCACCTATAAGCTATTTGCTCATGCGCTAGATATTGAATGAGATTGTTGCTCCGATCAGCTCCATCCTTTTCGACTGCCTCGATATCTGTCCGCTACAGCCCACGAAGTTTCTAACAAGCATGGTCTCGCAGGTACGCAAACGTCGCACTATTTTCAAAGGATCGACTGACGTTCAGCGATGCCGAATGACTGGATTGCTGAGCCGGCTCCGACGATACTCGGCGTTCCCCTGTCCGACGAACAGGAGCGCCAAGTGAGCCCGTAGTGCCAGATCTTGGACCGAAGCGTTTACTCCAGGAGCAATACTCCTCCTGCTCAGGCAAATCTCACGCTTTAGACGTCGAAGAAGAATTCTAGCAGATATTCAGGAGCTTCAAGCGAGACTCGCCGG